ACTCTCCGACGACTCAATACCTAAGCCACCAGATGCAAACTTAGATCCCCAATGAACGAAGTGTGCGTTTGGTTTACGAGACCCAAATGAACTGACAAGAAAGCTAAAAAAAAATTTGTTGATACCGTTCAGTACCGCACCTCTCCCCACGGGACCCCTAAAAACGTATGTAAAACCAGAATCGCATTCATGAGAGACGAACCAGCTTTGCGTACGGCGGCGGTTATGGGCATTTACTACGTCATGTGGTCGTTGGGGGTTTGGCACCTATTCGCTAACGGGACTAACTCGTCCCGTTCTGCCTGGGTGCTCAATCTCGAGACTCACTAGCAGTCACACAGCGGCTGGCAGTTTAGGCAGGTGAGCGTGGCCACCAAAGACAAGGAAAACAGGAACGGTCATTTCTGGCTCATTGGCCATCATCAGTTAGTCATACCCAGACCCAGGCGGTGCAGCGCCCAGTCAATTGTTAGAGTGTTGGACTTCTGATCAAGATGTTGCGTGTGCGAACCCTGGGTGGTGCACCACCTGGGATTGGGTATGACTGGCTGATGACGACTAATGAACCAGAAATGGCTATTCCGGTCTCACTTTTCTTTGCCGACAATGTTCATTTGCCAACAACTGTCTAAACTGCTCCTATTAGCATCCACCGGTAAAAAGCGGGTTTAGGAATCCCCAGTAATATACGTAGCTCTTCGGTTAGTTCAAGGAAGGTTGCATATTTCTACGTGCAAAATGCAATAATAGGCGTTGAGGTTAGAATTATGCTTCGATAATACCTACCCTTACGGGAATTTGGCGCAAGGCCACCTGTAGAACCGAGCAGGAAGGGGGGGGAGTGGTTGGCGGATCCTGTTGGCTAAATCTAACCTAAACATTAACCCTAATTTCAAAGTAAATCGCAGTCTAACCCCTTAATCTTAACCGTGACTGCAATTTCCTGGAAATTTGGAGAAAGATCATCTATATTACGGAGGGATTCTATGCCCGGGATTTACCCATCCTGCTTTGTTTAAAATTCTTACACAGGCAAATAGTATTCGGAATGTCTTACTACAAGTTCATTGCTGTTTATTTGCAGACCCGGTTCTGCACGACACTTCAGAAGATAAATGAGAATGTCGGGCCCAATTCTAAGGTCAAAGCCGACTGGTTAAAATCGCGAGCCGGTGGCTTTCTAAATCATTTCCCGTCTGACCTAGCAAGAAGTCCGAAAAATTAGCAGGCCTTGGTAGACAGCCAGTTCATTACACCTTATGCTGTAGTTACCTTATAAAATAGAACCCCATTAAATGGGTTTAATCTATTCGAGCACCGAGCTCGTCATGTGAAACACACAACTTTGAAACGTAACCAATGAAACTGCATCTGTTCACTGATTAGCTGCGGGCGACCGAGGACTGAAGTCCTGGGAGCAAGACTCAACGACAGACACAGGCACACACACACACACACACACTGACAAGTCTTTAACTCAGCGGAAGCTCGTCGATCGAAACAATATTTCTGCTAGTGCCTCGCTCGTTACCTGAAATACTCTTAGATGGGACTGCTTGTTACCCGAGGCTCCGCTGTTTAACCATAGCCATAGCCGATGGACTTGGGTACTTTCGGCCAATCGAAAAACTGCCAGTTTCGAAAGATAAAACGAACTTTTATACACCAATGTAAGTGTTTTATTTCTATCTGCCAAGAAGGGGCAGTTCCATCAAATT